TGCTGGACCAAGAGAGACTTTTCACTTAAAAGTCATGGACCTTATTTGACCATTTAATAATAATATGTAGCCTGGCTTGTCCCAGTGGAAAAGGGTCCCATCTACTTGAATGGCAGTTTGATGATGGTCCCTGGGCGTATAGAACTTACAGAGCTCCCTGACTGCAAATATAGGAAGTCTTGGAGAAATGCCCATTCTCGCTTGGCCGCACCTCCTGACAGCTCACCCCTTCCTGGTGCAACTTGGATGGGAAAACAGAACGATTCTGGAAGCGTTGTAAGAATGTCATTTGGGGCAACATTTGATTTCAGACTTCAGGGACGTGAGAATCAAACTCAACATCAGCCCTAGACTGAGTCCCAGGAGGCAGAGGTGAGACATGCCTCTACCGTCCAGCCTTCTTTACCAATCAGTGCTGACAACAACCATCCCTCACACATACACTCTGCTCCTGAGCTGGGCTGGATAATTTGCTGCAGTGGACAAACAACGCGCAGACAGTACTCATGAGTATGGGGTTCACTGGGGGGAAGGTATTGTAATGTCTTATAATTAGTGTTTTTTATTTTATTTCTCTGGATTCAAATATCCATTGCAATGGCTCCACAGAACTCAAAGCCAAAATTCATTATTAAAAGGTATGCCAGTGAGAAATGCTGAGTTGAGCTGTGTTATCAGGACAAATTACAAAGTTCTGTCAAGTCTACCAATAAATGCCCAAAGGGCATACCACTCTGCTTATAAGCCTCAACCCGAAGGCATTCACCTTAAGCTCTATGGATCAGCAAACCCAGCTCCCTGAATGAAGTGTCCAGAGCCACTCCACTCCAGTAAGCCTCACCCCAAGGCTCTCACTTCCTCTTCTGTGAGTCAGCAAGTTCAATTTCCTAATTAAGCACCCAGAGACAACCAACTCTGCCAGCTAGCCTCCTGCCCAAAGCTCTCAGCTTGACTTGCTGTGTGGGTTGAGAAGTCCATCACTCTGTTCCATGCTCTGGCTCCTGGTTCTGCTGCTGCTCTGTTGGAATAGTTTTGCTCCACTCCTGGCTCTTGCTGGTAATGAGATAGAGACCTTCTCCTGCTTCTCAGAGGGCTCATCCTGCACTGCAGGATGGCACTTCAGGGAATCCTGTTCAGAATTGGTCACAGGTGGATCCTACCTTTCTCAGTTCTCGTACCAGACCCATGTTGGGAAAAGGTCGTTTGGTGGAAGTTAGAGACTGGCTAGAAGAACCACGTTAAATAATTCACTGCCCCAGTTATCAGGATGAGACATGTTCAGGTTACATCTTCAGTCAGAAGCACCTCTTTCTCTGGTCCTCACTGTTGACTTCTGCCCTATTTGGGCAATGTTATAAAGCTTCTTTGGGACCGCTGATAATGCCTAAAGACACTCCACTCACTTTAAGTTTCAGCCCAAAGTTACTCTACTCTAGCTCCTGTTTGTCCACAAACCTAGCTCCCCTGATTAAGTGCCTGGAGGCACCCCACTCTGCAAGGGAGCCTCCTGCCCAAAGGGACTCAGCCAACCCACCTCATCCCTTGAGTCAAGAAGCCCATCACTCTGTCTCATGTTCTTATTCTTGGTTCTGCTGCCAGTACTCGTCTGGTGCCACGGCTCTAAATCCAGGAGGTTCATCACAGCGGTCTAGGGATCTAAACGCCCCTTCTGCTCCTGGCTTGTCTTTGTGAGCAAGAAAGTGAGGCCCCATTTCTGCTTCTGAGTTGGCTCATTTTAAACCCAACAAAGATGCCCAGCTGACCGATCCTCACAGTAAGAGTTCTATGCACCGTAGCTGCGTTTGATATTTGATCGTTTTGACAAGATAGTTTGGTTTATGGAAAATTATTTTTTAAATGATAAATATTCATATTGATGCTTCTGATTTTCCTAGTTATTTTTAATTGCTTCACCAATGTGGTCTTTTTTTAATCATTGAATTTTAAAATTATGAACTAGGTGAATGGTTTATATTTCAGACTTTCAGCACTGCATTCAACAATTTAAACCACTTATCAGCTCCCACCCCCATATTCTATGCTCCCCTCCGCCTCCCACACACACCCTAATTCTACTTATGGACCTCTATCCTCCTCCACACCCAAGTCTATACCTTCTTTACACCCAAATCTAGCCACACTGCTAGGCTGATGTTCCATCTTCCCACCTTTGCCCTCCCTCCCTGGGGAACCTGCCACTCTTTGTCTTGGTTGTTATCTTTACAGTAGTGATCTCTTACAAGATTTACCCCTTTCTGATTGACTGACTTCACGCAGCCTCATGTTCTCCAGGTCCATTCACGTCGTGGTGTTCCGTGGTTTCATCATTGTTTTCTGTGTCTGTACCAAAGTTTCTTTATCCATTATTCTGCCAATGGGCTTTTGGGCTGTTTCCAGCTTCTTGCTGCTGTGAACCTGTTGTGATGAGCATGGGAACACATATGTCTGCTCATGTTTTGGCTCTTACTTCCTTGGGGTGTATACTCAGCACAGGGATTGCTGGATCGTGTGGGTCTTCTATTCCCAGCTGTTTGAGGAGGCACCGTATTGCTTTCTGCAATAGTTGAACATCTTTACAGACTCACCAGCGATGTATGAGTGTGCTGATCTCGCCACACCCTCTCCAGCATTTGTTCTTGTCTCCCTGTTCATGTCCTTTCCCACTCTTTAATTGTTTTACTCCTCTTTGTCTTTGTTTTCTTATTGAGGTCTTGTAGTTTTCTATAGCTTTTAGAGATTCATCTGTTAGCCAATGTTTTCTTGCTGAAGATTTTTCTCCTAGTCCTTGGGTTCTCTTTTGACTCTTTGGCTGCGTGTAAGTGTCCCAGTCATCTATTTGGTCTTCAACTACAGGTGCTTGCCTTGTTGGGTGGGATCATTAGTCTTTGTCCTGCAATAGGGCCCTTAAGTTTGCCCGTGTTCTCATGACTGATCCCCAGAGTTCTGAGATGTACTTTGAGCTCTTCGATCATCTTGTGTTCATTTCTGTATGTGGGATGAGGGCTGAGTTCTACTTCATTCTTCTGCAGATGGAGGCCCAATTTTGCCAGCATAATTTGTTGAAGAGACTGCCTCTTTCCCCTCGAATGGTTGTGTTAATTTGTGTTTGTTTTCTTTCGATCTGTTGTCCCAAGTTCACTTGTCTGTAGGTGGATGAACTTATTTCCAGGTTTTCTGGTGCTCCTGGCCCTTGTTCTCCTTGAGGGTTAAGAAAATGGAAGCTTAGTTTCTTTCTCTTGAGTTAATCCTCTCAAAGCAAAAGCTGGCTTCCGGCTGCTTCCTGCTCTAGATCCAGTCTCACTGGCTTCTTACCTGAGCATTTCTCACTTTCTTACCAGTGCGCCGCCACTTTGCTGACCACTCTGTGGCCACTTGTACTTGTTCTGTTTTACCTCCGATTTTTGTTGTTAGTGCAAATGTCTGTGCAATGTATTTTTGTTTGAAAGTTCATGCACTACAGGGTCTAAGTTTCCTATCATTAATTTTTCTGTAACTCACTTTTTTGTTTCCTATATTAAGTGCATATTTTTAAACCTTTTAAAAGATTTCTTTGGGACATAACATTTGACTGTTTCAAATAGTGCAAATTTAATGATTTTGTTTTAGCAACCAAATTTTACAATTGCGTATTTATTTTTGCTTGTACAAACATTATCGAGATTGTGAAAATTAGATTTCAGTATAATTCCGTGTCTCTAGAGAGGAAGGTCTGGGAAAAAGATGTGGCTGCCTGTTCTATTAAGGGTACAGCTTTGAAAACCCAATGGGGCCATTTCTGCTCCATCACACGGGCCACTGGCCTAGAATCGTCTCGAGTACACCAGCAGCAACAAGACCTGCAGGAGCAATGGGCCGGGAGAGTGGGGCCCATTATGTCGGTTTCTGAGAAAGATGCCTGCCTGCTCCCTCATGTGTTTGAACAGGCACATGTCCAAAAATAAAATCACTCTCCCTGGATATTCCATGGATTGCAGTAATCTGATAAATGAGCTAATTATTCATTGTATTTCTGGTAGCCACACGACGGCTTATCCATAGCAACAATTCTTTTCAAAACTTCATGGGGCCAGCTCTGTATTTATTAGGGAACCAATCCCACCAGGTTAAACAAACGGTGCGAGTCGGTTCTGTGTGTTTACTCTCTTTCAACGGGATCTGCAGTGTGCTCTGGGGTTAGCTCAGCAGAGAGGACGAATTGGGCCATGGCACCATCATTCTAAATGTGCTGCACCGATGGTGCGTGTAGAGTCAGATAAAGCCGACAGCACAAAAAGCCTTAGAAACCGGGGCCAACTTCCTTCCTCCACAGTGAGGATCCGAGCTCTGTGTCTTATGACAGGGATCATCACCCTCAGTCTGCCGACAGTAACAGACTAGTCAATACCGTCCCAGGAAAATACACTGCTGTTTTTCTTGACTCTAGAAATTACATTGATGTGGAATCCTTCAGAAAAGGCTGTGCCTCTAAAAAAGCTCAGAATTACAGATTTTCATAGGGAACAGATTCTGTTCAAAGGATTTGCACCTCGGTTGAAATGTAAATTAAACCCAAAAGTATTTTCCCGTAGCTGTCAAGAAAGGACAATGTATCAAAATGGCAGACTTTGGAGTTCCTCAGTGCAGGACCCGTTCACAGCTGGGGCGCTCCCGGAAGTCGCTGCAGAGGCGCAGCGGCCCTCGTCTCAAGTGGCCTCGTACTTTGTTAAAGCCAAGAAGGTGGTGAAGTGAAATTTGTGTAGCCTCCATCCACCAGGCATAATAGTGGGAATACAACTCTGAAGGGGGGTACATTGAGATTGCCTATTCCTTTGTGTTTGGCTTTATAGTTTGATACAATAGAATGTAGCACACTTTTAAAAAATGTGTAACAGTAGGAGGGTGTGCATTTATGAATTAATTGAGCTTTTATCTTTGCTGTGTTTAAAAAAATTTAATTGTAGCGTTTTGGGGGGGGCAGAATTTTAGCAAATTCAATTGTTTCTTTTTGTTCATGTTCACAGGTTCTGGAACTTTTCAAAGCCTGATCCTCTCCTTGAAACAGTGGAACACCATACCGAGTTTGCTTGTGGTTTAGATTTAAGTCTTCACAGCCCCACTCAGGTAACGGACTCCGTCTGCTGATGTCTTCTCTACCAGACAGTTCTCACACCGCAAAAGTGGTTTCTTTCAGATATCGTTAAGTACACTTAGCGAACATGATCGCCTTTGCTAAAGACTTGAGCATCTGAAATACTGGGCGGGGTGGGGGTGGGGAGGGTGTGGGGGGGTGGAATATCCAGAAATTCAACCTATATCTATTCTCTTGAAAGTTTGACTTTTCTGAAAGAAAAGGATTTCCTCTTTAAAAGCATTAGCATGGCGATTCCAATGGGCAGTGTGCCAATGGAGCGATGGAATGGCGGAGGCTTCAGGAGTATGTGTTCTGAGACTCAGCGCTCCCATTAAGACGGTGCACAGGACATTGGTCCCTCACCAAGACCTAGGAGAGGACACGCTCTCCCAGGGCTCTTGCCTCCATGGCAGCAGGAGACTTCAAGTGACAAACACAGGGGAAAAGGTCTCATGTCTCCGTTAACAACCCTTATATTTTCCTCCTCTTACTCTCTGGAGGACTCCGAGCCAGTACTGGGGGCTGTAGTAGTCTTCACTTTAGTTTTGTTAGCGTTCCGTCTTGCTGCTGTTAGGTGCCTTTGAGTCAGTTCCAGCGCTGAGGCCCCCCCCCCCTCGTGTTCAACAGAAGGAAACACTGCCCGCTCCTGACCGTCCCCACCGTCGTCGTCGTTGTTGTCTTTGAACCCATGGTTGGAGCCGCGGTGTCACTCTGCCTTGATAAGGGACTTCTTCGTTGCTGCCTTTCTACTTTACCAAGAATGATGCCCTTTTCCAAGGACCGTTTCTCTCGACCACATGTCCAAAGTGCGTTAGACGAAGTCTTCCCCTCTGCGGAGGATTCTGCCTGTACATCTCCCGAGACAGCTTTGTTTGTTATTTGTCAGGCCACGGTATTTTCAGTATTCTTCAACAGCACCATTGTCCAGTTGCACTACTTCTTCTGAGGTCTTCCTCATTCAGTGTCCAGTTTTCACACGCATGTGAGGCAACTGAAAATACCGAAGCTTGGGTCAGGCACACCTTAGTTCTCAAAGTAACATCCTTGCTTTTCAACATTTTAAAGAGTGTTTGTGCAGCAGATTTGCCCAGTGCAGCCTGTCATTTGATCTCTTGACTGCTGCTTCCACAAACATTGATTGTGGATCCAAGCAAGACATAATCCTTGACAACTTCACCTTTTCTCCATTTCTCAAGATGTATGTTACCTATTGGTCCAGTTTTAAGGATTTGGGTTTTCTTTACATTGAGTTGAAATTCCCACTGAAGGCTGCAAACCTTGATCTTCACCAGCAGTGTTTCAAGCCCTCTTTACTTTCAATAAGCAAGGTTGTGTCCTCTGCATATTACAGGCTGTTAATAAGCCTTCCCCAGTCTTGAGGTGCATTCTTTTTCATGTAATCCAGCTTCTCTGATTATTTGCTCCGCATAAAGATTAAGTTTGCAGAAAGGATGGTGAAAGGCTATAACCCTGAAGGATACATGCACAGGTTCTACATGAGCACAATGAAGTATTCTAGAATTCCCATTCTGCTCAAGGCTACCCAAAGTTGGTAATGACCCACACAGTTGAATGCCTGACACAGTCGATGAAACACAAGCAAACATCTCTGTGCTTTCACGAAAGATCTACCTAACATCAGCCGTGATCCTCCTTGTCCCACAGCCTCTTCTGAATCCAGCCTGCGCCTCTGATAGCTCCCAACCATTGTTGGATGATCTTCAGCTAGATTTTACTTGATATCAATGGTATTGTTCTATAGTTTGAACATTCTGCTGGGCCACCTTTCTTTGGAAGGAGGACAGATATGGATCTCTTCCAGTCAGTTGGCCAAGGACTGTCTTCCGCATTTCCTGGCATGGAGAAGTGGGTGTTTCCAGTGCTTCATCACCTTGTTGACGGAGCCGGGGAGACTCCACTCTCTTTCAGCTCCATTTCTCCACAGACTCTTTGGAGCCCACTCATATAATCAGTGAAACTTGATATGTGGAAATTCTAGAGAGTGACTAGGAATTATATTTTTAGGATAAATTTTAAAAGCTAAATAAAAAGCAAATCCCATTTTACAGTATTGTCTTCTTAAATGAATGAGCTGATTTCTTTTGATATTTATAAAGATTTAAAATATTCTCATTGGACATTAGAAATTCTCATTATCATTAGAATCACTTTAACAATGACAGTAGCATGTAATAAGAGCAGAATCATTTAAATTGTAATTATTAAAATGGCAGTATTTTGAATGTAAATAATCAAATGAACAAATTTCTCTTCTGAGAAAGAAATTCATTATAGATGACTTTTAATAATTGTACTTGCTCTCGATTCCACTTAAAATGAAAGTCACAATGTGCCTATTAAAGCACAATAGGTCTAAACAAAGGCTTCTGTCTTAGTTCTAGTTCTGTTATCCCAGAAATACTATAAATTTAATTTCTCACTGTCTAACCTCCAGAAGACAAGCTCACTGTTGTTGCGTCTCTTCTGACTCACAGCGAGTCTACAGGGCAGAGTAGAACTGCTTCTCTGGGTTTCCCAGACAGTAAGTCTTCACAGGAGTAGAAAACCTCATCTTTCTCCCCAGGAGCCACTGGTGGCTTCAAACTGCTGACCCTGAAGTTAGCAGCCCAGTGTGAAACCCACTAGGCTGCCAGTGCTCCTGTCTAACCAGTTGGGAAGCTAGACATATGAGTGTCGGGCGCTGACTCTAGGAGAAATCTTTCTCTCTGTTGACTCTGGGGAGAGGTCCGTGGTCTTCATCTTCATTCCTCGGCTCCTTGGTTATGTTCATGTGGTTTGGGACCTATCTGCCTCCATTTCTGCTTGCTCACATTCTTGTTTAAACTCTTTTATATCACAAGCAAGATTTGTTTAAGACACACTCTGCACCAATAGTGTCTCATTAATATAACAAAGAAAGTGCATATAATTCCAAATGGAATTATAACCACAGGTTTAGGATTTATAACACATTAGCGGCAGGTGGGTGGGGGGTGGAGTGAGCATAGCTCACTCTTAAAGCACATCTTATATATATGTTTTCACTCTCTTTTTTTAATTTTAAACTTTTTTATTTTAGTAATTTTTAAAAACATTTTATTGAGGGCTCTAACAGCTTTTATAACAATCCACACATACATCCATTGTGTCAAGCACATTTGTACATATGTTGACATTATCATTTTCAAAACATTTTCTTTCTACTTGAGCCCTTGGTATCAGCTCATTTCCCCCCTTCCCCACCCCTCTCCCTCCCTCCCTCACCCTTGATTATTTATAAAACAATTTTTTTTATGTCTGACACCAACCGCTGTCTCCCTTCACCCACTTTTCTGTTGTCCATCTCCCTGGGAGGGGGTTATATATAGATCATTGTGATCGGTTCCCCCTTTCTCTCCCCACCTTCTCCCTACCCTCCTGGTATCACTACTCTCAGGGGTTTATCTGAGGGGTTTTTCTGTCCTGGATTCCCTGTGTTGCTTGCTCTTGTCTGTACCAGTGTACATGCTCTGGTCTAGCCAGATATGTAAGATAGAATTGGGATCATGATAGTGGGTGGGGAGGAAGCATTAAAGAAGTAAAGGGAAGTTGTATGTTTCGTCGGCACTATATTGCACCCTGACTGGCTCGTCTCTTCCTTGTGACCGTTCTGTGAGGGTATGTCCAATTGTCTACAGATGGGCTTTGGGCCTCCGCTTTGCCCTCCCCCTTGTTCACCTTGATAATGATTCCTTGTTTGGGTCTTTGATGCCTAATACCTGATCTCGTCAACACCTCATGGTCAGACAGTCTGGTGTGCTTCTTCCATGTGGGCTTTGTTGCTTCTCAGCTAGATGGTCACTTGTTTATCGTCAAGCCTTTGAGACCCCAGATGCTATATCTTTTTATAGCTGGGCACCATCAGCTTTCTTCACCACATTTGCTTATGCACTTATTTTCTCTTCAGTGATCATGTCAAGAAGGTGAGCATCATAGAATGCCGGGTTATTAGAACAAAGTGTTCTTGCATTGAGGGAGTACTTGAGTAGAGGCCCAGTGTCCATCTGCTTCCTTAGTACGTAACATATAAATATATGTACATAGATCTGTTTCCCTATCGTATATATCAATATATTCATACCTCTGCTTCCAGTCTTAGATAGCTCTATGACATACTTTTTGAGTCTCTGATTGGGGCCTGCGCTAGCACACACGCCTCGTCCCCTTCCTTGATGACGACCATTTCTCACCCGGTCTGAGGAGTACCAACATCCTATAATCCTCCACACACGCCCATCTTATAGAATGGAACTTTGGGGGCAGAGGATTATTAAATCAGATTACATACATCCACAAGTAATGAGATTTTATTATACACACACATACACATATCCTTCTCTCGTCTCATAGAAAACATCTTTCCATCTGCTTTCAGGAACCTGTTGTCTTACATAGTGATTTTGCAGCTGGAGAACTTTGCTGACATTCCTGTAAGTCTTCTGTGTCCTAAAATATTCCGTCTTGAAAGAGATTTGTCTGCGTGTGCTGCTCTTGTATAGGTAATTCTTTTCTTTCTCGTTTCCCCATCTTAAAGGTCTTAGAAATGCGGTTCGCAGACTTTCCTCTATTCAGCCTCCTTTCTTTGATGGATTGTAAGATCTTGTCTTTAAAGTTTAGAACCTGACACGTAGGTGTCTGAGGTCAGTCTCTACAGGTAATTGCTGGGAAACACTCCGTGTTCTCTTGTTAGCCTGGTTGAAGTTTTCTTTCACTCAGAAGATTTCTTTGATTTCTTTTCGTCTGGTGATTTGTCCAGTACTGGCATTTCTCTTTTCTCTCTCTTCCTTATGATTTCTAAGTTTGGTATCCATTTTCTGTTTCTAGGTGAGTTAGTCTGGGTAGACTAGAGAAACAAATCCACAGAAACTCATATGTATATAAGAGAGAGTTTTATATAAAAGGTAAGTGTACATTAAGAAAGCATCCCAACACAGTCCAGTCCAAGCCCATA